GAAGCGCACCTGGGCAGTTGGCTACTGCAGACGTAGGTACATACAACAACTTTAGCCAGCTTTGTGAGACTCCAATGATGGACCATTTTAGGGACCGTTGAGATGTCATTTTATTGTCACTGTACATGTTTGAATCTTACCGTTCACAAGCAAAGTTTTTTTTCTCTCATAGTTTCTATTTGTCCCCATATATTTTTAGCCAACGGATTACTTTTATTGGGTTTTTTAAACTAACAATTAAAATAAAAATAGAATTTTGTCCCAAAAGCAGCATTAAACTGCTTGGTTTTAGGGGAAAAAATTAAACTACTCTTTATTTATTATAACCAGACTATGATTAGTACAATTGAGTTACAATTTTAATAATAATAATTTAAAAAAACAAATGAGCGGATTATAGATTAACATGGATAAGAATACTAAATTACCTTTTCCAAATGTAAAAATTTATTGTTTTTTTCCATTTAATGTGATCTATTTTTAAAAATAATTTGAAAAAAAGATAAATAAACATGGTGTGTGAAGAGGTTGTCAAGTTATTACTTAAGCATTAATCATTATTATAAACAGATTACGGATAATAGATATATTACAGATTTTTGGTTTGTTTAAAATCTAGCAAGCACATGTACTCCATTGACATTAATTATAATTATATGCCTAGAAATAAAAATATTTTCTTAGTATCTTCTTAAAATGTGGCTAGACCATTTTAAGGGCTAAGCTTGAAGATTTACAGGGTATGAGTCACCACAGATTAGTAGTGGAAAGAGGTAGGAAGTAGAATCGTCCATCCAAAAAGGGAGACTCGTTGGGAACAAAGAATAGCTGGACTGGGTTCCTCTGGATGTCTCGCAATTACCATACTTGATCATAAGCAAACCGCACTTTATGCTAAAATCTATGTTGCTGTATCCGTACCCGTACCCGACACATCTGTAGCCATATCTAAACCTCTTGAATACTTTTTGAATATATGCAAATGTTTATTAAAATTGAATTTGAAAAATAGTTTCCCCTGCATTGCACCGACACTTGTATTTAGCAACACTTGTATGCTCTAAAGTTTCTAAAAGTTGGACTTTAATACTTTATGTTATGTAAAAGATAGAATTTTGCCTTGAACTGTCACGTGTGATGCTCACAAGCTAATTTTAGAACATTTTAGCTCTTAGTGATTGTTGAATTTAATTTAGCATTTAGTGATTGTTGAATTTACTGTTAGTTACGCTAGGATTCTATTGTAAGATATAATCGAGATATATTTTAGATAGAATTAGGGAAAATTTAACCAATTCAACAAACATAAAGGATTACAAATTTCAAAAATTAGTCTATGAGATCCCATAGGCAAATTTAGAGTACAATACTCTTCCGTTTACATAACATTAAGTTATAAAGTGCAACCTCTAGACATTTCAAGGTTTATAAGTGCTGTCAAAAACAACTGATGGTATACAAGATATTTAAATGCAATTTAGCTCAAAAATAATCTCGAAATGAAAGATAAAGAAAGATTAAATGGCAAACTATGGCACAAACTTACATATCATTTCTCCTTCCATATATAATTCAATTTCAGCATTTTAACACTAAACCAGACCTTAACAGCTGGTCGAAGAACTTTAATTTTGATATTTCTTGTATTCTGCATAAAGATTCTATACAAATAAAAAAGTAATAGAGACATTCACTTGACCAACAATTGATTTTCATAGTTTAGGATATAAAAAAACAAACAACCACACAAAGGAGATTCATCCAACATGTCACTAAACAAGAAGTTCAATAAATGCAATTTCTCATCACTCAGCTGCTCAGTCAGCATCTTTACCAACATAACACACATTAGATTACACAAAATTTTCCTCTGTTACACAATGCGATTCACAAAACCACTAAACTAGGCAAATTATTTTGAGTGTAGAAACCGCTTATAAGCATATGAACCTTAATCATGGTAAAACAAGGGCAAAAAAATAATCGCCGTTTCTATTCTGATCTCGATTCTGTATTAGCTCTTCTATTCTGGTCTCGATTATGTATTAGCTCTTATAAACGCCATAGAAGTGCCTGGCATCTCGCAGCTGAGCGAAGCAAAATTTTCAGTTGTCTTGAAGAAGAGAGACTTTCTTACCCTGTATTTGGAAGGACCTGCTGCCTTCCAACTGTACACAAAAGCCAAAACATCAGTTTACTAAATACTAACTCATGGACACAAAAACAGCACTAACAATGATTTGAGACTATTTTACAATCTCCATCGTATATGGAATAAACTACTGTCTCTGACACTTTTTGTCCAGTGAGATGATAATAAATCTATTAAGTTGAATGACGAATCCAAGAATAAGATATAAACTCGCTAAATGCACAACACGAGGGAAATGAAGTTTAAGAATTTCTGATTTCAAAGTTGCATTTAACTGAAGTATCTTTCTTTTATCAGGCAAATCGAAGTTTTTTTAAGAGTTCAATCAGCAGCACCAACTAAATGGTACCCAGAGTTCAATCTCCAGAACATTATGCTTTAGGGAAATTGATGGGATCATATAGTTGCATTAGTTCTTTCGATGGGATCATATAGTTCCATTAGTTCTTTCAATGGGATCATATAGTTGCATTAGTTCTTTCGATGGGATCATAAAATTGCATTAGTTCTTTCGATGGGATCATATAGTTGCATTAGTTCTTTCGATGGGATCATATTGTTGCATTAGTTCTTTCAAGCTCTAGTTGTACATTTCAGTGGAAAAGACCCACATGATTAAGGTCAAGACATTAAAATGCATATATAATACCACAATTATACATATATAATACCACAATTATACAAGTGAATACATTAATCGAAAATACCTTTTGTTTCAAGTAAGAAATAGCTTCACGACTTGACGAAAAGTTAGCAAAAGCAGACCCTGAATGAGCTTCCACAAGAAGTTTAAGCTTCTTTAACTTCAAAGATTGAGAAGGAGCCTGGCAGAGCACAAAGTCAGCTAAGCATCAGAGGTTAACAGAAACATGTTACAGACCAGTAAAGTTTGAACTTTCAACCTGACGAAGAAGTTGCTTGCACATTTTTTTTAGCTTAGTTTTAGGTTCAGGATTTGTCACTTTATCCAAATCCTCAGTTCTTTTCCGTTTTGCGGAACCATTGGAATCAGCAGAGATTTCACCATCGCTGTCATCAAAACTGGTCTTTTTCCCTTTCCAGTAGCAACCTGCTACCTTCTTTGGTTGACCTTTGATGCCAAGCCCCTGCTTTCCTGACGTAGCTTTATCCTGTGATATCAATATCAAAGGAAAGAAAGTACTTGTGAGTATGGCCCATTCCGTGTAGTTTTAAATGCCTGGTAGCAAGTAGGAACCATTAGTTGAAGTAAGAAGTCATGTACTTTAACTAGCTGAAAATTGGTATATTGATCTAACTGGCTGATAATGCTAAAAGCACAAATGTTTAATTAGAAATAAATGTGTATTAAACACAAATACTTGCAGATCAAGAATTAGTTGCAGTTCAAAGGCACTTGTAGAAAAAGTCAGCAGAAATAACCATGACCTTGATAAGGTGCATGCTCATAATTTCATTATACCTACAAGAAAAAAAACATATATGCTAGCATAAAGAAAAATAGCATCGTTCAACTATACAGTAGCTTCATGTATTAGCCATTCTGAAAGAAATATCCAAATTCACATAAAACTATGATATAGCAAAAATATAAATCATGTTAAGCATTAATATCGCTTGATACACGTTGTATATCTGCAATTCATAGGCTTAAAAGCTTTTGGAAAATTGGTTCTTTGGCATGGCATTGGAGCGCATGGTTCTATGAGCCTTGCATCTGATATACAGTGAGAATTTAGGATTATGCACATGGTGAGATAGAACATATTTAGTTGATCTCCAAAGAAATAGGTTAGTAATTATCCTTGCCCACCCAGAGATTTACAGACTGAAAATAGTATGTCTTGCTACCGAAAGCCTCACATGGATCCAAGACCAGAGAGGAACCAAGGTAAAGCTTATAGCCACTCAAAAGTGGGAGAAACTGTGCAATTTGGTCGCTTGATGGATTTGGCAATAAGAGATATAAGGTGTAGGATGAGTGCCACAGTAAGTAAGAAGACAAAACGAGGAAAGACAGTTCAGGCAACATGACATGATGACTGTTGAAATCCGATTCGTGAATGAATTTTGCAAACTTATAGCAAACTCTAAATTGATCCTACAGAAGTGATCCAATATTCCAATCACCGTCCTAGTGGGGGTATTTAAACAATTCAAATATGCACTGAAATTCGAACTCTGTTCACCATTGCATAAAATCACAAAGTTGTATGGGGATTGAGAAAATTATATATTTTTTCCATAGTAAAATGCAGATAAAGTGCCACTTTCTAGGCCTAAACTTGGACCTTAAGCCACAAATTTTTTATTTAACCAATCCACTAAAAATGTAAAGTCAGATGGAGTTTATCCTAGGTGGATGCTCACCATCTTTGAGCCACTCAACTACAACATTCTAAAATTGGGTGAGATTCCATGGAATTAGATCGATCCCCAACTACAAATGAATCCCAGAGGCACATTAAATAAACAAACTTTAAATAGTTTCTGAGAGAAGGTTATCATTTATAAAAGGCAAGATAAGTATCACATGTACTGAGGAGGTTCAAAAACCTGGACAAGTTTATATAAATTCTCTTGATCTTCTTCAGCAAATGGCTTTCTCGTATCTGAGGAGTTTTTCAATAATCTGGATTTACTGGTTCGAGATTGGCTTCCAAGAAAACCTCCAGAGACGAATCCATATTTGTGACCCCACCACTGCGCTAACTCCTCTTCATCTCTAGGGCCTGCATAAAATATGAAATTTCAGAGGAAAACTTCTGAACCACTGAAGAAGCATAATTAAGGAACAAAATGTCCAAGGCATATGGTAGGTAAGCATCATTAAGAATAGAAGACATATACATATAGCACTTTACATGATAGACTCGATAAGTACAATACTTAAACTCAACCTTAACCACTTCAATTAGTTCAACCATGATGAAAAATATTGCACAGACTTTTGAAGTCAGTATAATACTTAAACTCAAGCTTAACCACTTCAATTAGTGCAACCATGATGAAAAATATTACTCAAGACTTTTGAAGTCAATTCATAGAGAAGAGACTGGGATTTGTTTGATAAACATGTAAAAGAATTTGAAACAGAGTAATTTTGAAGCATTCTAAGACTTGGTTTGTGTTCTGCCCCAGTAAGGCTAGTATGCACGCCTCACAAGGTAATAATCATGCAAAACTAACTAGGAAGAATGGGATATGCTGCAGCCCTTTGCTGTTTAGAAGAAACATATCTATTGCCTGTTTATATCCTCATGACAGCTACTGCTGCCTCCAAATTTGTCATCACAGCTGCCGCAATTATTCAATATACTTTTTTCAATACCTTATAAATCAATAGAAAAAAATCCATCTATTTTTACCCTTTCTTTCTCGCTCATTATTGCATTTTTTTTCGATGGTGTCATACCGATGTCCACATATGTAAATATGACATGTTATAAATAATCATATATTATGGAAAGGATCCATCAGATATAATTTACTACTACTAATACAAATTCCTAACATGAGGATGAGGTGTGCACCAGCTTTTCACAAACCACAGGATATAACAGTGCAATACTGTACTTTATTATCATAAACAGTAGTTTGCTTGACAAATCCAGTTCTACCATCAGAAGCTATCATAAACAGATCCAAAAAAGAAACATCATGGGAAATTAAGCTATATAAACATAAACAACAAGCCAGTTAATACAATTTCATGATAGGATCAAATTCCACCCAAGAAAAATTACTTAAGAAAAAATTTGGTAAAAGATTAAAGGAGGTTATGCATGTGTGCACTGTGCACATAAGAATATGCAGATACATAAACTACCTTCTTTGCATGTAGTGGAGTCAAACACTTCTAGTGATACCGGCTCACAATCTTCAACTAGATCCATCTGCAAACCCTCTTCACTACTTTTCCCCTGCATTATGTGTACGACAGTAGATAGAAAAATAACGTCAATTTAACGATCAGAACCAGAGTTATTATGCACCATCAACAAATGAATGGCATAAAGTAGAACATAGGAGAAAACATGATAGCTGAACTCTAGAAAACATTAAATAACATGGATGTATGAAATATTGCCATTTATCAAGCACAACCAGTTTTAATTAGACCAACATCCAAATTCATATGAATTTTAACAGTAAATGGTTCAATAAAATAAGATTCTAAACACTCAAATAATGTTTGTTTTCTATACTAAATACAACAATAGTACTGCAAATAATGATAGATTGATGCATTAGATGCAGTTTCATCTGACAGTTATTTTAGGTCCTTTTCATGATCACTTGTGTGAGGATCATAAGGACTCTCTTATTTGATATATTAACATTTAAAAAGTGTGCTTGTCAATAAAATTTGAAAACAAAGCTCATGTTATTTGAGCTATATTGTACAGTTGTTTGGAAGCATCACTGAGCACAAAAGGGTAGTAGTTAATTAAATGTGCTTGTATGAATTTCTTGGGGCTCAATGCAAACTGTAAAAGGGACCAAACTAAATAAATATTTATTATCTATTTTATCCACATACTATATGATGCTTACAATAGCGTCCATAGAGTTGCATATCTTGAAAGCATGTAAACTAATAGGATAGGAATAAAAATAATGAAGGAAGAACAATTAACACTTACAAGAATTCCTTGGAGATCCTTTTCGGAATATGCATTCACAATCTTAGAAGGAAGAACAATTAACACTTACAAGAATTCCTTGGAGATCCTTTTCGGAATATGCATTCACAATCTTACCCCTTTCTCTCTTCTTATACCTGATCAATTCCTTGGAGATCCTTTTCGGAATATGCATTCACAATCTTACCCCTTTCTCTCTTCTTATACCTGATCAATACCACAAAGATCACATACAACGACAAAAAAGGTAAGCACAATAACCATATTCATAAATCACAAAATAGATTGAATGGAAGAAATTGTATCAACCTTCCTTGTGGCCTAGTAACCTTCGTAGCTTGATCCACAACAGAGGTGTCTTTTTGAGAATTTTCTTGCTCAGTATTTGTTTCCACAAGTTCTGCAGATACTGAAATCACATTATGGGCTTGATAATTAAAAGGTCCTTGATTGATTTCATTTCACATACCTTTATCAGATGGATCAGCAACTTGCTGCAATTAGAGAGAAGCATGTTAAGTATTTTTATCAAACTCAAGTAAATAAATTGAATTTGGGTAGGAGAGGGAGAGATTACCACTTTCAGTCTTTTAAGAATGTTATCAAATTGAGAGGTATCAAAAACCCAATTATTAGTCTTATCAACACCTACACCTGTAATTGCATTCAAGAACATGTGTCAGAAATTTTTACAACCCCAAGAAATCACCAAGCAACCATTTTCGAATGGATAACAATATTGACCTTTGGTGTCCTGTTTGTTTTTAACTCTAACATGTCCTTTAATCCCTTGCTTCTCTTTGCCAAGGCCTTCACCTTCTTCCCATCCCTAACAACAAACATAATGACCAAATCAGTTGCAAGCAATAGTAGAACATTAGGGCTTGTTATTGGGAGGGTTTTGGTTGTGTTAGTTTTGAGTAGTTTTTGTTGAGGGGTTTGTTCCATACACAGGAGAGTAGTTTGTAACTGATAAGCTAAGTTGCATGGGTAAGGCTATGGACACTAGTGCGGGTACGGGATACAACAAATTTGTAAAAGGTAGGGTACAAGGACACGGTTAAATATAAGTATGTTATGTATATTTGTATGTATTAAAATCAATAATTTACATAAGATCAATTTGTATATTTACATGAGATTAACGTATATGAAATAGATTATAAGTGTAGGATGTAAGTCCAAGAAGTGTACGAGTGTTTAATATATTTATATTAAAACATGTATTATATAATAGAGTATACGCTTGAATCAACATATGCATATATTCAAGAAGTGTCCAAGAAGTTTTGGTAAGGGTACGTGTCAGGTATGGGTATGGCTGCCAGGTGGCATAGCTGATAAGCAAGTTGCACCTATCAGGAAGTAGAGAGAATTGTTTGTAGATGAGTTTGTATCCATCTCCATACTTTGGCATTGAAGAAAAACTAGTCATTCTTACCCAAAAAAAAGTAGATTAGTAGCATATTTTTGACAAAGTGAAAGAACAAAGAATCCCCGTGAATCAAATAGCATGCACGAGTACTCAAAACTGATTATGTGCTCAATTGATTGCGGAAATGAATAGGGAAATTAAATGGGGTAATTTTTTGGGGGGATTAATGATACAAACTGCTTAAGTTTCCTAATCCTAATAATATAACAAATCTACAATTGGTTCTCTCACGAAAAAAACGTGCAACTGCATTGCTGAAATCAAATTCTTCGCCTATTATGATTTCTAGGGTTTCTAAATGACATATCATACAAAAGTGAACCATTTACGATAAATTGCTCGGGTAACTGACCAAATTCTAGGGTTTCGAACTAATTCAACATTCGCTAAGAGGATCAATGTTAATCAAAGCCCTAATCTTGAGATCTAACGGTAAGAAAAAGCTCACCATTTGTTTCATGAGGCGAAAGGCGGCGGATTGCCTGGCGACGCCGGCGTAGCACAGGGGAGCTTCAGGCGAGGCCATGGCTCCTTATTGCAATGTTCTCTGAGACGCGGAGCTTAGATGCGGGGGTTTTAGGGTTTTGAGAGTACGAAGAAAGAACCGCAATCTACGACAGCGTACAGATGTTTTGCTTTCGGTAGTGCACGCGAGCCCAGTTAAATTTTATTAAAGATTAGGTCCGGCCCGTTAACAAAGGCGCACGCTCCGTAATTGGGCTGGCCCATGAACATGTGATGCGTAACACTAACAGGCGACGAAGGAGAACAAATTTAAGGGGAGAGTTTAGAATTACAACAACTAGTGTGCTGTACGTGCGATAATTCTTTTCCACAATACAGTAATTATGTTTTTAAACGCCGCAGCAAGATTTTTCTTGAATTGCTACAGTATCCCACGTTTTTTAATTATTACAGCATACTCATGCTACAGTATTAAGAATGACGTATTAATATTTACTATAGATTTACTGTAGTATGAACAGCGAATCTTCGATTTACCCATTTGTATAGAGGAATAGATGTGAGGGCAAATTTAAATTTACCTTCCGTGTGGGGGCTACATAACGAAAAACCTATTCTATGGTATATTGATAGGTAAACGTTGAGCTCCATTCTTTTTTTAAAATTTTGGTTAAATTGATAGATTTTGAAGAATTATTTCACTCCATGCACCAGAGTGAGATTGAATCATAACCAGGGATCTACAGCCAATGAGATATGTCAAACATATTTGTAAAATTGATAAAATTGAATACTTCAGTAGAGGTATGTAATAATACATAAGCTATTTTATAAATTGGTAAGTAGAAAAATGAAGCAGGTGATTAAAAGGTGCTTGGTAGAGCTTGTTTTTCTTGGTCAAATTAGCTTTTTAAATTAGATTTTTCGTAAATCGCAAATAAGCTAGCAGTCTCATTTTTAAAAGTCAGGGCTTCCCTGATCTTAAAAAACTTGAATCATCATGAGCTTGTCCGTATTAAACATGCACAAGTTTCTTACATGCGCAATTTAAGAAGTACAACCCAAACTTTTGGATACCAAAATTTGGTATATCATGTAATAAGTTTTCAACTTACAAGTTACAACAGAAAGATTCAGTTGCAGTAAAATAAAAGGACACAAAATGGCATAAATTTATAGTATCAGATGACAAATAAGTCACATCTGATTATATGAGCAAACTGAAAAACAAATACATATAAAGGAAAAAAATAATAATAATAAGATGATGACAATTTACATTTTACTACTTAGCTAGCAAGATTTATGATGAAACCTGCCACTGTGAACATGGTAACTGCTCTCTAAGCATCTCCTTTTTAAAAATGAGATTACGATGCATATATAATACCTCTGACATACAAGCATCGAGATCAATGTAACATTGCAGAGCATCACCATCATTACTACCACCAGCGCGGCGACAACAAGTCTCTATTCAGCCAAAACCAAGTATTGATCTCTCAAATACCATGCAAATCAAAGCATGACGTATGTACATAACATTAGTATAGACCGAAGTATCCATAAGGTAGTAAGGCAGCTACCGATAATTTATATATACATCGCAGACTCGCCATATACATGGACAAAATCTCACCCACAAAACGGGGCATTGTCTTGGTATCTGTACAGTGATAGTACACCCACAACCACTTGCCATGAGAAAAGATCAATATCACAAAGCTTCAGTATTAACAGGCCAGGACAGCGGAAATGGATGCAGAAACTTATCTATATCTTCGGCTCATTGCTGCTGCCTCCAAGGTGTAAATACACCATATTCAGAAGCTTATCACATTTATTAGGTTATAAATACAGAGGCTTATCCATGATTATTCAACTTTGACCCTGAAAATTACATATATATATGTGTGTGTGTGACTGTTAGCACTGCAGACATTTTGGGTAACAGCAGATATAATGATAATCCACTTACATGGATGAACCATTCACAATCTCATCAGCTTCAATGGTGCTGTTAGCACTCCCAGATTTCACTTCTTCAGAACTGGCTTCATATGATGACAGCAGTTTTCTCTGCAAGAATGAAATATTTCATGTCGTATTCAGAGAAGTTGAGAAAGATGTAAGTGATGTGTGATAGATGGTAAACATAAAGGCATGCAAGCAAACCTCAAACTTCAGGAAAACATAAAGGCATGCAAGCAAACCATCAAACTTCAGGATACATGTGCAAGAATGATAAGAAGAAAGTATGTCCCTACGAGAGAGACTTAACGATATAGCGAATAGCGTGTTGATTCAGATAAAAAGTAGGTCATGAAAGTACACAGGTTAGCTTTTATTCATTAAGAAAATTGGCAACTTAATCACTATTCATGTCTGCTTAATCAGCATTTGTAGGGGCTCATAACACAATCTGATGTGTTCAAGGATCGGGTTGCATGAGATTCAAAATTCTGAATCTCATGACGACCAATTCTTAATCAGCCTTCTTTTTTCTTAGAACGCGGTAAGAACTAATGACCAAGGCCTATGGTTTGTTATCATATCTCGACTTCAAGTGTTCAAAACCTACTCTGAACATTCTTTTCTGGTATCTAAGTGGTATCCACATATTTAGTTGTACATGTATGTCAATGAGTTCTCAGATAATCTGTTTCAAGAGTGCCCGTTTGTTCTTTATCAGGAAAGGTTTAGGCTGAAAAATTCTCTCTCAAGGAGTAGAAGTAGTTTGCTCTCTCCAATTAAGATAGCAATCGAAAAATTGCTGCTTGTGTTATGAGAATTACACTTGGCTCAACATTTTGAATGAAAAGATATGAGTGGGAGGATTTTCAATGCTGAAGGACATGGGGTAAAGCTTAACCAAAAGAAGGATACAGTTTTAAAACAACTGTTATAAAATTTGAAAATAAATGAGGATCAGCTCTATAGGGTTTCTGGGGAATAACGTGCATTTACTTTATCAACAGCAAAATCATTCTTTATGCTAAAGCAGTTAAAGGTATACAGCATATAAGCATTAATATACAAAACATGTAAACATCACGCGTCTCTAAGATGAACAGTTAATAAAACACAATAAAATAGGCAGATTATCTAGATATATCCAAACGTGAATTAATTTAGTTGTGAAGCCTGGCACACATTAGATTTCTAACTTGTAGTCCCAAATATACTTTCATGAGTGACCTCGTGGATTTTAAGTATCCAACAACCAAAATATGGATATTTACCAGGTAAGGATGTGTGTTCTCTGATGCAGTATCTGCATTTTGAAGAATTTACTACTACAG